CATATGTAAATTGCAAAAACGCATATTGGGAAGAGGCTGTGTGTATGTGTTTGCGTGTGCGTGTGTCGCACTTTTTGTCACCCACTTTCAACTCGAGAACCAGAAAAGCTAGAAGGCTGAAACTTTGGAGATATGTGCCTATACCATGCGCGACCCTCCCGTTTTTTTGTCTCCCGTGGATGCCTGGGTGCCGTGTACAGACGCTTTAAAAAAATATGTAAATTTTTTGGCGGGAAAGCGATCTCGAGAATCACAAGAGTTAAGGGGCTGAAACTTTGTAAGGATATCCCTTGTGCATGTACTAGCAAAATGTTTCAAATTTAGCTTTCAGGTATGCGTGGTACTCAAGTAAGGACGTTTGAAAGTTTTAGTTGGAAAATTGCTAACTCGGGAGCCAGGAAAGCAAGAAACCTGAAATTTTGGAGGAATGTTCCCTACCGAAGTACAACTCAAATATTTCAAACTCAGCCCCCAGATATCAGTGGTACTCACGTAAGAGCGTACGAAAGTTTCTGCAGGGAAATTACTAGCTCGGCAGCCAGAAGAGCTGGAAGGCTGAAATTTAAAAATTTCAAATTCAGCTTTCCAGGTACGTAGGGTATTCACGTATGGACATGTAAAATTTTTGGCGGGAAAATTGCTAACTCGGTATCCAGAAAAGCTGAAAGGCCGAAATTTTGGGAGAATATTCCCTGTCCAAGTACAACTCAAATATTTCAAATTCAGCCCCAAACTATGCGTGGTACTTACGTAAGGACTTATGAAAGTTCCTGCGGGAAAAATACTAACTCGGCAACTAGAAAAGCTGGAAGGTTGAAACTTTAGGGGGAATGTTCCCTGTCCAAGTACAACTTAAGTATTTCAAATTCAGCCTTGAGTTACGCGTGGTTCTTACGTACGGGCACTCAAAATTTTGGCTGAGTATTTGACTGAGCAACTAGGTTACTTTTAAAGAACGATCGATAAACGGAAATTGTACATCTACTTTGTGCAAAATTTATGGTGATTTATGCTAGTGATCGCAAAAGGTAGGTGCAAAGCAGCGACTGTTCATGCAGTTAATGACCTGAGTACTTCAAGTCCGGTGCAAAAACGCATGATCGCACGGGCTCGCCCGGTGCGTTCCAGCCTGGGTTTGTCTTTTGTAATAGTTTTACAACCAGGGCTGGAACGCAACAGGCTTGCTGATCCGATCATGCGTTTTTGCGCTAAACTCGCAAGCCGCTAATAACAAGAATAATCCTGCGCTGCAGGAAACAGTTGGGCTCATATTGGCCATACTTTGGGCACCGGCATATAGCAGAATGGGCATCGGTGAAGGTGTTACATTATACAGCCGCATGGACCTCCGAGTACGTGATTACAGTTTTCTGCAAGAAGCTAGGCAGTTTTTTCGGTAAATGCCAGATTTTTTAAAAAATGAAAATGCAAATTTTTTGAAAAAATGCAAATTTTCGCTTCACTAAAAAATGGAAGTATTGCTCGAGCGCTTGTTTGTGAAAAAATCCGAGTAAGCAAATGAACAAATGTTCATTTACATATTTGGATGAGGGCGGTCGTTCGCTGCAAAACACACCCGTCTCTCCTAATTTTCCGGTAAATTTGAACATTTCTCACGCCTACCTAGAGGGAATTCAAGCAGAATTAAGACCGCACTTGAAAGTAGAATATCCGAACCCGAACGATTTCAGCCTCGCAGCTTATCCGGCAAGCGAAATATCCACTTTCGCTACAAATATTTTTGAAGTGCCCTAT